GTGTTGCATAATAAACAGCAACAACAGAGTCCTACTCCAGCCTGCCTCAATGTCCTTCTGGCCCGTCTCCTCTTCAATGTCTGTGGGGTGAAATGCTGATCTGTCGACATGGAGACATTGAGATATTTCATGCTTGGCCGACTCTGTTTTGGAGCTTGTGTTTAAGCCAAGAACTGATGTCTGTTAATGAAATGTATCAGAAAGATCAGAAAGATCTAGGCTTTAAATCACTGTCAGTGCTGTGCCAAAAAGTCTCACATGCTTAATTGAACCAAGAGCTCATCAGACTCTTCTGCAAGTTCCAAAAATAAAATCTAGTTTAAAAATCAGATTAGTCAACAGCCGTGTCCTCAACAGGCAGATCGGAGACAACCTGATCGTACCTGGAGGTGTGAAGTGTATCGAGGCCCAGGGAAAGATGGTGATCCCGGGGGGCATCGACATCCACACCCACCTGCAGATGCCCTATCGTGGGACCACAACAGTGGACGACTTTGCTCAGGGATCCAAGGCAGCTCTGGCCGGAGGAACCACCATGATCGGTAAGGACTTAAAAGGTTTCACACACAGCTCTGGCCGGAGGAACCACCATGATTGGTAAGGACTTTAGTAAAAGGTTTCACACATTTTTTTTTGTGTGCAGGGAAGTAAGCCGAGCGGGTGGTGGGCTTCAAGGAGGGGGGCAGAAACATCAACAGGGTAAAGAGGTTTGGGAAGTCTGATTTTGGGCAGCCCTCCAAAAAGAGGACCGTACAATAGAGTCAGTGTGAGTGTGGACGCAGCGAGGACAGAGTGTAGCACTAATCCAACAGAAACAGAAACGCTTGTCTGCATACAGCATGACACCGTGAGCGTGTGTGTTCATTTGTCCACGAAATGCAGTTTGAAGACCAGATGCAACCAAGGTCAGCAGCTGGCAGATGACAGACTCCCATCAGTACCAGTTACTTCATCAGTTAGTACTCTACTCTGATAGTGGTCTGCGACTGTGGCCCTGTGTTCATGCAGACGCAGTCGCTCTCACAGACGTGCCGCTGTTGTGAGCTCTGTTCATAACGGATGATGCCGTATCTGTGTGAACAAAGACCTGACGACAAGAACGATTATTTGTACGGAAGCGGAGCAATTGGTAATGTTTGGATTTGTGATGCCTCTCATTCTCGTGCAGAGAGTGGTGAAAATCATAGAGCTCAAGAAGCTGTGTTTTATTTCAGCTAAATAAACAGGACTTTTACTGTGGCGGGATGCTGTTCTGGATAAGTAACCTCTTCACCTCCAGCCACCGTCCATATTTATTCCTACCATCTTTTCATCAACCGTATTTATTCATCATCTTATATCACTTTTCTTACTGTCATTTCCATGTATGTCCTCCAGTGGACCATGTGATTCCTGAGCCTGGTACCAGCCTCCTGGAGGCCTACGACCAGTGGAGACAGTGGGCGGACGAGAAGGTCTGCTGCGACTACTCCCTCCACGTGGACATCACCCACTGGGATGACAATGTGAAGCAGGAGCTGGACAGTCTCATCAAGGAGAAAGGTACAGTTTAGTAGGTCAGGGTGGAGTTTAACCATCAACTCTACACTTGAAAATCCTGGTCCTCAACTTATGTCGAAGCTCTGTCTTATGACGTGACTTAACTTGATTTTCCGCTGTAAATCGGAACAAAGAACAACACAAAGGAAAGAAAGTGAACCTAGCACAAGCCATTGTATTAATTACAACCAGAGAATGTAAACAGAAAAGTCTTCCGCGTACAGTGCTGTGATGACGTGATGGCTGCTCCGCTCAGCGACTCGTTACCATGCAGACTAGTGGTTGCATTTTAACTCTGTATGTTGGAATGAGGTCGAAGCGCCGTAGGTCCTCCTGTTTATATTACATTCCCAGAATGCTGTCTGTTCTACGTGTCATACTTCTTCATGTGTCTCCTCCTCCTCATCACCAGGCGTGAACTCCTTCCAAGTCTACATGGCCTACAAGGACTACTATCAGATGACCAACAGTGAGGTACAAAAACAACTGTTGCATACTTCACCATGTCTCCACTTGTGACAGCACTGCAGTACTGTATAGTACTGCACAGCTACAGGAAGTATAGTGTGTCAGATTCCTCAGTCCACTTAACATCTGAGTTCTGGCTGTCGCTTGTAAAAGACCCAAAAGGAAAGTCCGGACAGTTGAGACGGGAGTCTGTGTCCAGCTGGTCAGAAGAGCCGGTCAGGCATCTGAAACAGTCCAGCTCCAACAACTGATGTCATGCTGCACAGCAGCAACACAACAACAGCAACTGCAGCTCATCACGCACCAGTTCAGCCGTTTGTCAGAGCTCAGAGCAGTGTGTAGTGGTGGAGGACACGATGTGGGCTGTTGGTTCGCCTTCAAACTGTGGCTTCAGTTTTTTTATTTCAATGATAACATTTGGGTCAGATTTACTGTAAATGTTTCCTTTGACTTTGTCTTTTTCCTGCAGCTCTACGAGGTTTTCACCTTCTTAGCAGAAAGAGGAGGCATCGCTCAGGTCCACGCTGAGAACGGAGAGATAATTGCCGAGGTAATAAAAATAGATCAAATAAAAATAGATCCAATTTTACCCCTGCTTACTTCTCCACGCCATGTCCTCTTTTTTGCCTTTTTATTTTTTTTTCTGCTGATTTATCGCCCCGTGGATGACTTCAGTTCTCCTTATCACTGCAGATCTCACTAAACCTTTAGACTAAACACACGGTTACTGATGAGGGAAGGAATGTATTATTTTGTAAGACAGTAATGCGTGGGTGTAGTTTATACAGTGCTGTGTTGTGGACAAATGAAAGTGAACGGACCATGATACTGTAGGTGGTGTATTTGGAGGGCTGTAGTTAGCCAGAGCTGCAGAGCCGTGTCTGGAGTCTGTCATCCTGCATGTGTGTGTTTGGATTGGATTCTTGGCTAATTCTAACTCTCTCAAGTCTTGAGGCTGAAGTCTGATTTCCTTCATCTTTAAAATGAAAAAAAAATGATAATAAAGGCCTCTGGATCATGTGATGACCTCATTTAACTTTAACTGACTCTCTCTGAGACAGAGAAGCCTTGTCTACAGGAAATACAGAATCCAGAATTTTTTATTTGATTTCAGATTGCATTGGAGAAAAAGGCGCAGCAACACTTTGTCTGTGGTAACATATCTGGAATATTTTAACAAAAGATTTTTTTTTTAAGGTATGTCATCAGCAGATTCCACTTTTAGCAGCACAGCCTTGTTAGAAAACCCTGAAGCACTTCAGGGTTAGCTGTATCCTAGCATCTGTCAAAAATTCTCATTTTCCATGATTCTTAAGGTGACTCCTGATGGTTAATTAAAAAAAATATATTATTATTGTTTAGTGTTTTAACAGCTAAACATCTTGTGTTGAACAGGAACAGGCCCGCATGCTGCAGATGGGCATCACTGGACCAGAGGGACACGTGCTGAGCAGACCAGAGGAGGTACAGCACAACACAAGACACACGCTGTAAAAAGAATCAAAGCAGCTTTGGTATAAATAGGTCTGAAGCCTGACGGACGTCAGAATCATCCCTCAGTACTCTACTCTACTCTACTGTAGTGGGAAAGGTCAAATTCCAGCATTGTTCAACTGACTTTACAAAAGCAATAACAAAGGAACACATGACACCGGACCGTTCTGAGTTGTTCTGGTAAATTCCAAGCTTGCAGCGTGTCATGGTCGTCAGGATAAAAGCGAAACCCAAATAAGGGAAATATGAATATGATTTTTTCAAGGAACATTCATTTTTGAGTAAAATATATATGTGTGTGTGTGCTGCCAGTTTTGGGTAATTAATCCATAAAGTCTAATTTCCTGGATACTGTTAAAAAATTAAAATGAATTCACACACATCTCCCATGATTCCTGGCATGTTGAAGCCACCGAGTGTAAACTCTCAGCAACTGTTCCTGCTAATGTTTCAACAAAAGAGTGCGTAACTAAACTTCATTTGGCCTGACTCGGTTTTTCCCCTCTGTAGTGCAGCAGAGTGGAGCATGTTCCGCTGATATTATGCACAGCCGTGCTCTTTAATTGAGTTTTAACCCTGGACTCAACATCAGATACTGTGAAGGTCGAGTTGCAGTTGTGCTTGATCAGTGTCTGGCACAATAGCCAGTGTAGCTAATGGCACCAACTACAAAACACATGTTTACTGCGACAGTGTTGGACTTATTTGGACCATGTCATTGTCTTAACTTGGCTCCAACCATGTTGACGTCTTTCCATGCGCCTGTTGGTGCGCATTAGTCGTTCCCCCCCCCCACACACACACACACGCTTCATTCCTCATCAATAAGAGCGTCACGGCGTCGCAGCTACAGGTGGTTTTGAATCTAGATGCTGTCGATACAAATCCTATAGGTTTGTGAGGATTGGTATTGGCCTCGGTACTTTGTTCAAATACTAGTACTCGTTGTCTACATGTATTCATCACACCTGACCATCACAATCCTGTCTTCATAAGTTTTTTATTCAAGAAAATGTTCGTAAATGTGACGTGTTGTTTTAATATCCTGTCCTTCCACTAGCTGGAGGCAGAGGCAGTGTTTCGTGCCATCACCATCGCCAGCCAAACCAACTGTCCCCTCTATGTGACCCGCGTCATGAGCAAGAGTGCTGCAGACATCATCTCTCAGGCACGCAAGAAAGGTAAAGAGCTGCAGAAAGGCTGATGAAATGGTTTTTGAATCTAAAAGACACGGATATATACATATATACATAGTACTGTGAGTTTGATACAGAACTCAGATGATGGGAAAACAATTGTAAGAATAAAAATCACAATTATAGGAATTTTTCACAACAACAGGGTTTTTTTTTCTATAATTGTGTTTTTTTTTGTTTTGAAATTGAAGTTAAAAATTATGGACCGGTCAAATCTGACCACTTCTTTTTGTAATTACAAGAAAATAATTGCAAAATGTTCCTGTAAATCCCAGAAACAGATTTTTCCCTTTAATATTCCAAGATAAATAAAGCCTCTTCCCAAACTGTATCCGTAACATCATTATGATGTTTTAGTGAATGAACAAAATCACTTATACTTTTCTATTGTGGCACAGACAATATACAGATGCTGACAAAACCTCCTGTTCTCAACAGAGCACTCTCCTCTCAGCTGTCACACAAACCGTTCCTCACAGTCTTAGTTAGGAGCGGATGTGAACCCTGTTCCAGAGCGGAACAGTGAAAACTACAGGTCTTTACAAATAGAGCAGGAAAAGGTTTCAGTGCAAAGTGTGTTCACCTCTGGAGGACTTTTCGTGCGTTCATTATGTGCCTTTAGAGATTTGACTTTTGTTTTTGTTCAGGACAGAATGATGAATGAGTGAGAGAGAGAGAGAGAACGTGAACAGGAACAGACAAGCTTAAACCACGGGACTTAAACCTGCTGTTGAATGGAAGTGTGCGTGAGATTAGGCTGCGATCTTCACCTGCAAACACTCAGATGAATTACCAAAGCTTTTAGTGAGATTAAACTGCTGACAAATTAATCAGTGTTTATGAGAGCACGGTTTAAGGGGACGGAATAAATCAATTTGATTCAGTGTACATTCGATACCTACTCAGGTTTTTTTACCATCGCTACTTTTTTTTCCAGGAAACGTTGTGTTTGGGGAGCCAATCACGGCCAGCCTGGGGACAGACGGGACGCATTACTGGAGCAAGAACTGGGCCAAGGCAGCTTCTTTTGTAACATCCCCTCCTCTGAGCCCTGATCCCACCACTCCAGACTATCTCAACACTCTGCTGTCAAGGTATTTAGCATTGGAAGCTAAGCTCAAGATGAACCGAGTTACTGTCAACGGAGAATACACTCAGTCCTATGAGCACTAAAAAATTGTGTTCTGTAAATTCAATAGTGGAATGCAAGGTTTTTTAATCAAATAATTTTTCTAATCAATTTGAGTCTCATTATCAATTGATTGTTTCACCTCTGCACCAGAATTATCTCCAGTAAAGGTTGTTTTTTTTATAATTCAGTATAGAGCTTGAAAACACCCACGCTGTAAAAAAACCCACCAGCAGTTGTTGCACAACAGCGGACTGTTAGGTGAATTAAAGCGTCATACGCAGCATCACAAACAGCTTGTGCTGGAAGTCAAAACATTGGCAGCAGGAAAAATTGAAATGACTTCCAGTTTTTTTGCTGTGTTTTGTCTTTTTAGATGGAGTGGATAAACATCGTTCGCGGCGAGTGGGAGTCACACGTCGCTGTGCTCAGACTGATTTATGTGTTTTCATGTTTTTGTATTTTCCAGTGGAGACCTTAGCGTAGCTGGCAGTGCTCACTGTACCTTCAGCGTGGCCCAGAAGGCCATTGGCAAGGACGACTTCACTCAGATTCCAGAGGGCGTCAACGGAGTGGAGGAGCGGATGGCTCTGATCTGGGATAAAGCTGTGGTGAGTTATCTCGTTACTGTTCAAGTGTTCTCTGGTGGAAATCGTATGAAAATGCTTCATTTTTTTGTTTCCTTATTATTTTTTTCATTTTTTCTGGAAGCACATAAATGTCACATTCAATGGACTGTTATTGGTGGATGATGTACAATGGGCCGTGGTTACTGTACGCCACGTGTTTTACATTTGAAAAATCCCACCAAACAAAAACATCACTAAACCTATATGGAACCACATACAATAATCAACTAGTTTCACTTTACTCACAACTTTCTTCCTCAGTGTTTTTACTCACAAGTGACTTAATCAGTATGACACCTGTTTGGCCTGTACTCGCAGGAATTGAAGAAAGACGCACACAAAGCATCTCTTTTGACAGCCTCCTACAGTGTGTTGTAGTTTTTAGATTGGTGGGACTGATGTTTTTTTTTCTCTTTTTCCTCCTGTATCCTAGACCACTGGGAAGATGGACGAGAACATGTTTGTGGCTGTGACCAGCACTAACGCAGCTAAGATCCTGAACCTGTATCCCCGGAAGGGTCGCGTGGCTGTGGGCTCTGATGCTGATCTGGTCATCTGGGACACAGACTCCATTCGCACCATCACTGCCAAGACACACAACTCGGTAAGCACAGTGTTCCAGAGTTGGAGTTGTCGGTGAGATTAGCAACTCCTCCTCTAATGCTACATCTGTTAGCTTTAGCCAAACTTGGACTGATTAATGTAAGGCTATTATTAACACTGAAATAGAGAGAGAGAGAGAGAGAGAGAGAGAGAGAGAGAGGGAAAAGAGAGATTATTTTTGAGTAGTTTCCAAATAGGTTCCAGTTCCTCTTAGAGGAAATGAATCTTAGTGGACGTTCACTCGCTCCCTGCTAATGTAAATCACTCTGTGCTAAAACCACATGACACAGAAAATTCCCCCTGAAAATATCATTGTTTGTATTTTTTTTTCCAAACACCAAAGTAGAAGAGTTAGACTCCTGGAGTGAGTGTATCAGCAGAGTGAGGCAGGAGGAGGTGTGACCTCATCCACATCACATTCATTCTCACTGACAACCCCGGTGTTGTTGGTTGATGGGAAAACCATAACCATAATAGGTTGAAAGAATGTCTTATGCACAGGGTTGTGTTGCAGCAAATACCAGTATTTCACATACTCTGACAGACCCCAGAGATTCTAAACATCTGTACGCGCTGCCGATTGGGAAACAACGTATTTGGGAAAAAAAAGTTTTTATTTCTGCAAATAAATATTTAGCCTTCGTATTTGGATTCATCCACACATTATATATTTATTTTTTTTACTTGTATTAAAAAAGTATTTTTTGTTTTGGTTTGGACATCCTGAGAATAGAAATAATTGATCCTAAATATAAGTGTTTTTTTTTTACAGAGATCCTTAAAAAGACAAACATCTACTTACAGTATTTACTGTACATCCTGTATAGAGAGTTTTCAACAGTGCTGGAAGTAAGCCAACAGGAAATGAAGCTTTTACCAGCTTAGCCGACGTCCTGCTTTTCCTTAAAAAACACATGCGAATAAATAACGCCCCGTAAAGTTCTTACAGCTGGAGAGAGAGACGACCAGAGACGTGGACTAATAATATGTTTTCTCCAGTTGTGGATTCCATCCACCGAGGATCCGTGGGTTCTTTAATAATGATGTCACCCTTTCATTTCCTGTGACTCCAGCTTACAGAGAAAATAACACAGGCAGCAGAAACAGACCAGAGCACGGCTACTCCCAGCGTTCCACACAACTCTCTGCTGGGAATTCCCAAATCTTATGTTTACTAAATACATTTTTCCAGGTTTCTTATCAGTAGAGCCACGCCCTAGTCAGGCTGCCTTTTCATCTTTATTATTTAAAAAAAGCGTATATTTTGTCTGACTCGTGAACAGCACAAACTTTGAAGCACACTGCGCTCAGCCGTGACATCATTTTTGGCTCACGCCGACTCTCAGTTATGTCCTGTTCTGGCCTGAGTTTGGATGGTAGCGCAGAGCAGGGACGTGTGCAGAGGAAATAAGCAACAATGGAATGAGGGGCGGCGTCCATCGCAGCTCGATCACAAACATGTTGACATGAAAAAGAATATTAGCACAGGCGGGAAGACTGGAAGAGTGAAAAAAAAAGTGCAAAGCTTAGGGAAAATGAAGAGAATAAATCAGGGGATAATGTCTGGAGGAGAACGTGATGAAAAACAGACAGGAAACATTATGCAGTGGCCAAAGAACAATAGAAAGGGTGGGGGGGTGGAGGGGTGGAGCAGGGGTGAGAGACAGGGAAGAGTGTGACAAATGTCTGAAGTGAGGCACAGTTATTGGACTCTGTCTTTATAGTGGCAGGTGTTTGAGCGTGTCACAAAGACAAGTGTAAGAAACAAAGTGATGTGGGATAGACTGGAACGAATGAGAGGAGGGACGGGGGAGGACAGACAGACAAGGAGAAATGTCCTTTTATAGCTCCCCCTGCTGATAACTTACCATCACCTTTGTCATATACTTATATACTTATACTTGATTTACAGTATATAGTATGTATTAATGTATATAAATGTACATGTGTATATTTACATACATTTAAATTTCCCCTCTTTAAATATATTTGTTATTTTTGATTGGGAATATAGTCATCTTTTAGATGCAATAAAATGAAATGAAACTTTTTGGTCCGTTGACCAGTACCTCTCATACTGCAGTTGTACATTTGTGCTCCAGGCTGCTGAGTACAACATCTTTGAAGGCATGGAGCTGCGTGGAGCGCCACAGGTGGTGATTTGCCAGGGTAAGATTGTCCTGGAAGATGGGAACCTGCACACCACCTCCGGTGTGGGTCGCTTCATTCCCTGCTCTCCCTTCCCTGACTTCGCATACAAGCGGGTGAAAGCCAGAAAGCAGGTACAACACAGAAGTCATGGGCTTTAAACATTTTAAATGATGTGAATGTTTTAGTATGATGCGTTCAGAGAAAGTCGTAGAGACGTAGACATATATTAGAATATATCATATTTGGGGGGTTTATGTGGTAAATGCATAATAAACATTCATTTTAACACACGTTTTATAACATTTTAGGGCTGCTTGGACTGGTTGTAAAAAATCCCAGTTGCTAACGGTGTTACATGGTATAATTGCCATGTTTTTCTGAAATCACATCACATTAATCACAATATAATTGGAATCTAAAAACATGAATTTTCATCCGTTTAAAAACCCCTTCACGGAGTTCATTTTCCCACAGAACTGTAATTTACCGGTAAAGACAAACTCTACTTTCTGTTTTTTCTTCCGACTCTACAAATCTAAAATTTCAACCACTCAGCTGGCTGTTGGTGTGGAAATTGAGCTGAAGTGACTCTGCTGTTTATCTTGGTCGCTGCCTGTTTAGCATTCTTCATTCAGAAATGTCTCAGTGGAGCAGAGTTCCCTGCTGGAACAAAGGCACTCTCACACTGAACATGTGAGTGCATACAAAAACAGGAAAAGAGAATCGTTTCTGAAACAGTTTCTAGTCTCAAACAACTGATTTGATTTTTTTTAATCACCAAAAACCAAGATCTTTTTTTTACTGTCACATCAGTTTTACATTTGATTTTGAAGCTTTCTCTTCAACCACAGCATCAAACAGTATTTCTGAGACGTTGACTCCTCTCTCCTTCCTTGTTGTTCCTACAGCTGGCCGTGTTGAAGGCAGTGCCCAGAGGAATGTACGACGGCCCCGTGTCTGAATACTCCATGTCACGTGGAGGTACACCGTCTGCCTCTGCACGAACCTCTCCGACCAAACAGCCTGTCAGAAACCTGCACCAGTCTGGATTTAGTCTAGCAGGTACCTGAGAGTCAGACCAGTGGGCAGCAGCATTTGCATGTTTCAAACATATAATTTTAAACACATGAACACACAGTGTTGTCAAATAAGTATTGTTGCTTCTTTAATGAAATTAGCGTATATTTAGATTCTCAGACCACAGCTGGCGGTTCGAGATCTGAGCTTCTTAACCAGAGACACATTTAGATTTGAAAACTTTGGGAATCAAACGCATGACCTTCCAACTGGAATTCAACCTGCTGTAAACACTGGGTCAGAGTTGAGCCACAGATTATATCTGGTACTTGGGGAAATCATTAGTGTCAAACCATGTAGCTGTGTTTTTTTGAATGGTGCTGACCCTCCATGAATGGTTTTGCACAGCAATTGTGTCAAATACTTTTGAGGAACAAATCTCTTTAAAAGCCACAAAAATGTTACCGCCAAGCCAGCCCGCGGTTTTTACTGCAGCAGTAACAGTGACAGAGACAAATACCACGGAGTTTGTTTATCTATTTCTTTGAAACATTCTTACGTGAACCCTCCGACTTCTGCTCCGAGAACAAACACTGTCCAGTTGAATTATGAATTACCACGGCATCAGTTTGGCTGCACTGTATCTTCACCATTAGACTCTTGTTTATACAAGAATTTGTCCGTTTATACGTGACATTAAATTGGCTTCCTCAGCTCCTTTGTGTTTTAATGAACCACAGAGCAGCAGCAGTCAGTAAAATCTTTACACACACACTTTCATTTGTCTGTTTTTCTACTTTTACTACCTGTTTCATGTGGCTTGACACAATGTAAACATTAACATTAGGTCTACTGTGGAGCCGTACGCCTGCGCTGTAGGATTTCTACATATTAAGGAGAGATTTGTCAGTTAATCCCTGTCAGTAACTTGGCTGATTCAGAGCAGTTGAGTTCACTCCAAACGTTTAGCCACGGTCGGCCGAGGGAGCCTGTCTAATATGAGAAGACGTGACATGATGTTTTCACATCCACCATCTGTTCCGTCCTGCAGACGCGCTGAACGGCAGTTTGATGTTATCCATATGTAAGGTCAGGCCTGGATTGGTGTAGATTTAGAAAACAAATGTGTGTGTGTTTTTGTCCGGCTACCAAACGGTGAGACTTTGTAGACGTGGTGCAATCACGAACAAGATAGTCACTGTTTCCACGCTCCCATAATCAAACACAGCAACTGTAGCCATTAGCTAATCCTTTACAAACTAAATGAGTCCATGTGTAACGTTATATCTGTGAGTGAGTAACCCGTTTTACGAGGAGAATTTCTTTTTTTTTTTTTAACAAACAAGACTGATGTGTGATACATCACTGACGACCTTGGCTGGAAGTAATTTACACATTTGACTGCATGAGTTTATCATGACAGTGTTATAACTGTTCCCTCCCGTGTGACAGTGTGCACATACTCTCACAGTGATTGGGCCTTAGTCTGTTTTCCCGCGACCACCAGCAGCAGAGTTGACTCACTTGTGTTGAAAGATATAAATAAATGAAAATGAGTGTTTGCTTAAATGCCGTGTATCACAGGCTGACATCATTCTGCTTTCCATTTATATACCGGCTAATAATTAGTTGCAGCCGACTCTTTGGCTCATATTTTGGAAACGCTGCGCTGCTCTGTATTACATTACATTTCGGCGACTGTGATAGAGAAGACGGTCTACTGTAATTCCCATTTGATGATACACACCACATATCACACACTAATAATGTGTCTTGGAAAGACCTGCAGTGCCTGGAAGAAGTGTTGTTGTAGTTTGTGGCGACTTTTTGTGTGTGTGTGTGTTTATGAAAAAAAAAGCCTGAGTGAATTGACTAATGATGTGTCTTCAGATGAGCTCAAGAAAAGGAAATCTGGATTTGTTTAGTGTAGTTTGTTCAAACCTAAAGGTCTCCAATAATGATTTTAATAAATCATTCGTATTAGCTGTAGTGAAAAGACCTTCTCTGTCTCAGAATTTTTTTTTATTATCGTCATATTTCCAGTGGTGATAAACAATGAAAACAGATACTGATACTTATTGCTTACTATACTATCTTCTCTATCATCTTTTTTCCTCAGGTCCTCCAACCCCAGATGACCTCCCCATCAGGCCTGCTGGTCGCCGTATTGTAGTGCCCCCTGGTGGTCGTTCCAACATCACGTCTCTGAGTTAAGCGGCACACAGGAGGAAGATGCATTCCACCAAAAGGCAGTGGCTGCAGTTCAGGAGGAAGACAAGAAGAATTAGAAAAGAAGAAGGAGGAGGAGAAGACGCAGAGGACCACGATTAAGTAAAATAAAAAAGTTAAGAACAAAACACTGAATCCTCATGCCTTACCTGTCACAACGCTACCTTGCTCAGATGAGAACAGTATCCCTTTTCCTGTGGAACTGGTAACACTAGTCTGGAGAATTTTCTAAAGATGACATCAAAGCATATTAAATCATCTTAGCCACATTTTCTTTCGAGCTGAAACCCAAACACCACACACAGTGAAAACATGTCCACCCTGGTGAATTAGAAACACTCTGGAAAACATCAGATAACTGCGTCCTCAAAGGGAAATAGATACTGTTTTTATCATCATCAGTCTTGCTTTCCATGCCCCCCCCACTTCCCCATTCTTTATGCTTCATATTCATCACACCAAAACACTCTACCCCACATTAGTCATGTCTTCATACTCATGCAGTTCTGCTGTATATAAACTAGATGTAATGTAGCCCTTGTGAATGATGTTGTTGAAGCAAGTTTGATTTTACTGGACCAAGTAAAAAGTGGTGAAGAAGTTTTTCCAGCAGGAGTGTGGTCGGACATGGAGCTGCATGGGCCACATTAACTTGGGTGACGTGAGCCATGTACCCCCACCCCCCTCCTCTGAGGTACTTTAATGAGCACCATCCCTGCTATGTGCTGATTGCACAACTATTGATGTTAAAAAATTATAGACCTCCTTACTCTTTCACTAAACAAAATAAAAGAAACATACAAACACTTTTGTGATTTTTGAGATTTTTAGATTTTTTTTTTTACACTTGATTTCCCCTCTTTTCCCACATATTATGGAAGGGACGATGTAAAGCCCATTTTTCACATTTGCTTCTTGCTTATTGTTAGCTTGTCACCACCGCAGCATCTTGAAAAATGTGAAAAATGAGCAGAAACAAAAATTAAAGTGGACAAGGTCGTAACTTGCAAATGAAAATGCAAAAAAGTCCCTAAACAGTCTCGGTCAAAAGTCAAATAAGTTCTTTGTTATTCTTTTTCCTTAGATATGTCTTTTAAAAATATATTTGTAATAAGGCAGAGGATTACAGTGCAGCAAGTGTAGCCTGATAAGAAGAAGATAGTTTTTGATCTGGCAGTGGACGGAAGAAGGCACAAGTGTTGTTTTTTTGTATTTATGCTAGTTTGATGATTTTTTTAAAACGTTGTTTTCTTCTTTTCTTACTGTTGTACAGTACCAAACCCAGAGATGGCAGGTCAAAATAAGGTGTGTTGTGAAATGTATGATGTATGGACTGTTTCCAAAATAAACAAGAATTGCAACTGAAGGCCTTGCTGAGTTTTTTTTTAAAATAAAGTATTGTTGGTTAAGGTAAAAGAAAATTGTTTATTTTTAAACTTAAATGTTGTTCTTAATGTCTGACCTGGATCAGATTTACATGTTTTTATTTAACAAATTTGATGTCTTTTGGAAATATATTCGAGTCTTTAAAAAATACATCTTCTTATTAATTCATATAAAGAAATGCAACTATAAGTATCAGCTAAATTGATTTAATTTACCGCTATAAGAAGAAAGTAAACAACGTAAGGTACTAACATAAAATAAAGGAACTACATCGTGCCTTAAGTCGAACCCGGGACATTTAAATTGACGTACAAAACCCGGAAGTTTTACAAGACAGAGCATCACGAAACGTTAATGTGCCTAAATTTAACCGGTAAGATCAAATATTTTCTTTCTTAATACGAAGGCAAATACAAATTGTACTTGAGCATTTGTACAGGATATGTTTTGCGTTGAAAACTTGCTTGTTTTCCTGTACCTACACGTTTTGACTGTGAGCCTGTGTAAAATGTCTTTATTTTGAACGCTAGATGTCGCTGTTGATCTATAGTGAAAATTCCCTTACTGCTGCATAACGTGATTTTTCTGTAGCCAGTGTTTGAAACACTACTTTGTTTGGGTTAGATTAAAAAACAAGGGTATTTTAAGCTAATAAAATCTGTATTTAATTTTTAAATTTAAAGTCTGCTCATGCGTTGTGTTTCATTTGTGTTTTGAGTGCTTTTAAAGTGTCTGGATTCTATTATCTGCTGTCTTGGTACTATTTTATGTCCAATCTCCTCGTACATTGGAAACATATCTTGAACGTCTCTGTGTTTGTGATCCGTTTGAGGTAACTTCAACATTTATTTAATAATCAAGGTTGGTGCTTTTAGCTGTAGTGAAATCCCCACCTCCTCAGCCATTAATATGAGAAAGTGCTGCATCAGCTGAGCCAAGAGTAGAGCTGTGCCTCCTCCATGACCTTGCAAAAGCAGCGGAGTCCTATCTGTAAACTGGACGTGTGCAGTTGAGTGGGAGAGAAAAGGAAAGGGAGGCAGGTGAGGAGTTGGGAGAAGATTAGAAAAGCCTCTGATTCATGTGTGATACTAGAAGTGTTGAAAAGAAACGACGGAATGGAGTTAATGTGATGTAAACCAGGTGCCAAGTGTGTTGTGTATTGGGTTTTTCATTCATCCTTCTCCCTCATTTTTGAACGGTTTATCTTTTATGTTGGTCATATTTGTATGCTTAGATCATCATGAAGGCCCTTAACTCTGGTGGAGGTACATTTAATCAGTGAACAGTAGGGGGCAGCCACAAATTTACTCTACTTCTACACAGCCATCATCTATATCGTTACAACTATTTTTTTTTTAAATTTAACCACTTATATGTCAGAAAGATATGAGTGAAATAAAGCACACGACACAGTGAGGTTGGTTAGGAAAAAGAAAGTTATTAATTAAGGCACACCTTAAAAGTTCACATTTGAGTACAATAAATACATTGACAACAAAACTTCTAACAGAGGTTAATCTACGATATGTTATTCTTAGATACGTTTGATTGAACAGATGTTTCTATGGGCCAAACCCTAGATGTCGCTAATTATTGATCAGTTGTGTGTTTTTAGAAATGTTTGGAAAATCTATTAGACCATCGTAATTTCCTAACGAAATTAATTAAACCTAAATCCTGTATCTGTTTTAACTATCCTTCATTATGGTGCGTCATACACAGGAAACCGCATTTAAATTTGTAAAATTAGATGAAAGACAACAACTACAGTCACCAGCACAACAACATAAAGTTATCTCAAAACGTTTACCAATTATAAACATAAATAAGACCACGTTTTAAAACTAAATAGTCTATATTTTTATAATATTGAAAAAACCTTTCTGTATATTGGAGAAAATTAGGTTAAAGGTCGTTAGAGGCATTAGTAGAAATTTAGTTTACAAGGTTGTGTTTAAAAGGTCAAGACTTCTACATTACACAGACAGCTACAGCAGTGGGAACCTGCAGTGTGGGCTCCTGTAAATGCTTTCAGCTACTGAAGTATTTTTTTATTAGTATTGCTGTGGTTGTGAATGTGTTTGTGTCCTTGGGTGTATTCTTGTTGACAAAACTAAACAGTGAAAATCAATATGTACATTTTTTGCCTTCACTCTTTTCTCCAGCTTGTGTTGAAAATTGGATTAAAGGCGAATACCTGCAAACAAATGCCACACAGCTGTATCTGGAGAAAATTGAACATTTGAGTATTTTGTATTAACTGTACGTAAACGTAAATCACAAATGTATCTGGTTTAAACAGAAGATAAAGAACAGATTAAACGTAGGTTAATAACAACGATTAAACAAAAGCTGATTTAAATGACACTGCGTTAACTGTTAGTTTAATCCTTATCTATAAAACATATCCCAAAGGGACAAGTACTGTTTTTTTCACAGCATTTTTTTGTGTCTCTGCGTTGATGCTTAAATGACGAAGCATGTGCCCAACACGGTTCTGTGCGGAACGCACAGTAAAAACATCTATAGTCTAGCTCTTCTATTTACCTCTTCCAGCTTAATTAACATAAACACCTGGTTGAAGCAAAAACACACCTGCCGTCACACACGCGTCTGCTGTTACTAGGCATTTTACTTTCAAGCTTTACAGTGAAATGCTACATTTAGAAACTGTGTTTGCTCTATAGTCATTTAAAGCACGAGCGAAGATGTGTTGGCAGAAACCTTTGCCTGTATTTACAGCTGATGCTGCACTGGCATCTTTGTTAGCCTGACTGTTAAAGTTGTTTAGCTCTTTACGTGTGTCCTGGTTGTTGTGGTTCAACCTAATGACTATTCATCCTTATTTTTGTTTGCAGAGGATTTTATTTTGAAAGCCAGTGAAACTCTGAATGCATGGTCCAGCCCTGAGCCCAGCTCGGGCATGGCTTTTGCTCCAGGATTAGTTTTTTTTCACTCATGCAGTTCTGCAGCTCCTGGCAATATGTTTTATTTCATGGATGTAAACAGCGATGCAGAGGTGGTCGCGTACCGCGCTGCATTTTTTTCTCCTATTTTTATAATCGTAGTGACCTCGCGGTGAGGACTGTTTCCTGTGCCTGTGTGATGTCAGATCTGTGTGTGATCTACAAGCAGTAGGCGGGTGCAGGTGTTAAGGGACTACGTTGGGATCTTAGTTATGGAAAACTATCCTGATAAAAAATCAGTAGGTTTCACATTGTTGTTCTGTCCATCTTCTATTGCCTTGTTCTTCTCAGTCATGAGGTCTGACGTCTGTGAGACCACTTCTACTTTCTTTGACCTGTTAAGACAGAGGCGTCATTGTGATTGTTGACAGAATATTGTACCCAAACACCAATCAAGTTGCTGCATCTCAGTAAAGTCTGGGTGAATTTATACAGTATACAGAAGACTTTACAGTTTAATGAAATGCACTAGCAGCTCAGACGCTAAGAAAACTGATTAATGCAAGTTACTGCAATTCCACAAATGTATTATAGGATGCTGTTAAAAGTGTACAGCCCCAGAGGACAGTGGAGCTCTGTCTATTAACCCCTGCAGGAGAGGAGGGTTTTGTGATTAACCTTTTCATCAATGTCTGCTGTCTGTAGAGAGTGCATGGCAGATGAGGGAGCGTCTTACTTTTCTCTGTTGAAGATAATAAAGTCTCTCTGGACGTTTTCCAACCGCTGCTGTAACTGACCATTCTGGAATGACACAAAACACAGATTAGAAAAAAACACTTTTACTGAATGGAATATTAGGGGGGAAAAAAACAATTAGAATATTAAGATGGAATTTCTTTAGAGGTCATGTGACATAACACAAAGCTGGTGTTTAGATATATTTATAGCCACAACAAAATAACAACCTGTGCTTCTACAAAAGGAAAAAACATCTGACAGAAATAGATGAATAATGTCATATTGTCAGACATCAGGGATGGATGTGTTGCAAAGATGACTCATGATGGAGGCTGCACCAAATATACAGTGTAGTGTATTTCTCACTGTCATACAGACAACCAAACCATACCTGACAGTCATGAATGCCCTATCTTTATAACCACTTTATGTCACTGACCATACAGAGTGGTAGTAAGAGTTATATATTTCATTCATGGAACAGCAATATCAAATTAAAGCACCAGAAATATAGAACCCACATTGCCAGCGACCAAAGCAAATAGCTGCGTAAATTTAAATGTAGTCATTTACTGTAAAATATCCACCTATTTTCAATGTGTACGTCCTCCTAAAATTATTATGCAGACCATCTGGTGCTCAAATGTAAATAAGACCGCATATAAAAGTGTCACTTTTCCTCTGGCCTCTCTGCTGAGTAGGTTTAAGTTGCTCACGTTCTTCAGCCAGGTCATAAAAACTCTAAATTAGGTCATAAAGAAGCAACGGCTTCCTGAAACAACAGCCACCGATAAAATGGGTTGAGAATCGAATTACTGCAAAATGATTTTAAAAGTGATAGTTCTTTCATTGTGTGACACAAATTCTTTTTTCTAAAGACACCTCCACAACAGCCTGACGACAATGGCCAAGACTGTGTCCTTGAGAACAGAGTCCTGTCCTTGTTTTCCGTCTCTCTCTCTCTCTCTCTCTCTCTCTCTCTCTCTCTCTTTTTTTTTTATAAGATACTTTAACGACACACTCCAAGACAAACCCACAGGGAGAGCTTTACTGTACGAGAGCCCATCAGTAATATCTGTCAACATTTCAGTTTAGGAGCGTTACCTTCCATTTGTATACGTTTATATATACTGTAATCAAATTGAAAAATGTGACAGTAAAAAGAAAAGAAAATCCTCAAAAATATCTGGTGGGTCATCCGTCTGCAGTGATGCTGCCAACTGCTTGTTTTCCTCAGTTCTGGATATAAATGAACACACCTGGTGTGTGGCCGATTCACAGGGCGATTGGCTCAGGTACAATTTGGAGAGAGGGCAAAAAGGAAAATGTTAGCCGGATTTGCTAAACTTAGCCGAGACTTGGAGGATTCTCAAAAATATAAGCAAAATTAATTTCATGAATCATTTCCTTGTTTGTCACTGAGGCCGAGGTTTATTTATTTCCAGGATGTCATTCAAAGATTTCCATGGTATAATTGGAGGTGTGCAGCTCAACAGATCAATGGGTGCTCATTGTTTTGTACCCACCTTCAATACTATTAGTGTAGTAATGTTATTATTACATTATATTCAACTTTTCACTCGATTGTCCCGATGCTGTTAAACACTGTGTCACAATCATCACAGCATTTTAAACTTACATTTTCTGGCCACTATAAGGCAGCGTTGTCATCATGTCAGAACTGGATTTTGAGTTTGTTTCTCTACTTGACTAAACTGTTCTGTGAATATTATTATAAGATATGAGTGATATTGATGTTGTTATTGAGGTGATGTTTAAATGGTTTCCTTTTTTGTTTGAAAATGGAGGTTTGAAAGAATGCTGTTGAGGACAGGAGGAAAATGAGTGAGGAAAAAATGCTCAAGGAATACAGATTTGGCTGAAGGTAATGAGAATTAAGGCTGAGATATCTTTTTTCATTTATTATTGATCTGCTGTACTTCAAAAATGCTGCTAAAGGCATATCCTTTCTCTCTCTCTCTCTCTCTCTCTCTCTCTCTCTCGCCCTCTTTTTTACACACATACGCACACAAAGCAGCTGTAATGTATAGGCCGACCCATCAGACATGGTTGGCCTTCATTCCTGTCTCACAAGTGGTCCCTCAGGTCCTCTATAAATGGATATGAAAAAGCAACGCCTCAACACAAACTGATGTTTGTAGACAGTAAAGCGAGCATACCTCCTGACAGTCAGACGTAGGGGCGTGGGCTGCGAAATATGACCAACTCCAATGAATAATGAATAACACACTTAACAAGTCACTTTATGAAAAGTTGTTGTTTATTTGGAGTGTGTATTTCGGCTGTTACCCAAATGATCAGCAGTGGAGTGGTTTTGTCCGTGAATAATCTGGATAAACAACTTTGCTTCGCTAAAGCTTGGAAAGTGTCAAAGACAATTCAACAAAATATTCCTTGACAGTATAAAAATGCAACCCAGACTGAAGTATAAAAATTAGAAACTGGGTCAGCAGTCAGATTTGAGGTACTGTGGATTCAAATGTCTGTTTTAAAGAAGTGAATTTACTGAAAGGCAATTGTGAAAATGTTCTCTTCAGATTAACTACAACTACAAACCAACACCCTTCACTGGGAAGGTAACGTGTAAAAATGTAAATATATGTTTTGTTAATGTAAACAGTTTTTTTCATCTGTAAGCTGAAAGAATTAGTTTTTCCCCTAACTGGATGTAATAAGAATTTTATCTTTGATTGGAGGTGTACGGCTGCATAAATCAGTGGGGGCTCAGTGCAACAGAAATCGGTTCATCATACTGTGATGACAGTACCAAGTTTATTTGTTTGTTTACATAGAAGTAGAAAACCAGTGCACTCAACTTCTGGTCCATGACAGTTTGTTTGTTTACATAGAAGTAGAAAACAGGCGTTGAACCAGAGCACTCAACTACATACACAGCACCACCTGCAGGACATGGATTGAATCTCTATTTTCCTAATTTAGCCCAGGATAACCAATGTAGAACACAAAACTTGATTAAATGCTACCTGAACTTTAACTGTAAGAGGTTTTGAGTGAGTTAAACAAGGACAGATCAGTGTCAATTGAATTGAGTTCAACCTTTTTGTTTCATCACTGTGATTGATTTGGCAGAACAAAGCTGCACGGAACAATTTTATAGGAATAATAACGGATTCCCAGTCTATTCAAACACTGTCACTTCACCTGTCTCTATAAATGTCAAATATATTTCCCTGAGCAGCTTCTGTCTTTATATCATTAGAATAGAAGACTTTCTCTCCGTCTGCATCGGCCGAGGATTGATGTACATCGTCTGGCTGCACACACTGAGATATGTATCGCTGATATATCACAACACATCGCCAGTTCTCCACAAGCAGTTGTCAGCTTTTATAAAATAGTGCACTTTGTCCCTGCTCTGATTTCCTATCTCGCGCTAGCAAAGGAAAAAAAGTCTGAAGTCTAGACCAAACAAATTGCTTCACTTCTATTAGGAAAGTGTCCCTAAAGCTGCACGAGCCAAGAGCCAGACTTAGTGACTCGACAGTATAGGGTACGTATAGACTCAGTATAATGTATCAGTGGTGACAGGACAATTCCACCAGTATAAGCACACACACACCGTCACAGAGCTGCACTATTCCTGTTAAAACGCAGGCGGACTAAAATGTGGAAGTAGTTTAACACCACCACATCTCTGTCGTCCTCGCTTTTAGAAAAATCTGAGGAAGGAAAATTTGGACCGATGCCTAGGGTACAGCTGGCCCTTCCCTTCATTTACTGATTAATTGATTATTCTTCTGTGAATACATTTGTGATGATAATTAAAGCTGAGTAAAGGTTTCGGGCTGTGTCTGCAGTTTCCCTGATTAAACGTGATATGTTTCAGTGTGAGGCCACACAGTTTCACTGGTCTGATCTCAGATGTTTCTATGTCTGTTCTCTGTGTTTGCATGTTTTATTTCCAGCCTTCTACCAATGAACAGAAACATGCAGATTGGGGATTAGGTTAATCAGACCATTGAGATCAGGGGTTGGCAAACGTTTTGGCTCACGGGCCAGAATGAGGTTCAATTGGCGGGCTGGTTCAGTATTGGTTGGCTGTAGAATGTTGGGCAAAATAATTTAAATAAAATGTACAAGAATAAACCTAAACTTTAAAGGATAATTTGGCACATTTGATGTCTGCTGCCACCTAGTGGCACGTTTTTTAACATTCATTTACCACTCCCCCCAACTACCTCCTTTGCTATACTTCTGTGTCCACACAAGGGGACCCGGACCCCAACTTGGGAACCACTGATTTAAAATATCTATTAGACTTCGTACCTGTGGGGAGCCATCTGACCCCTGGTCTCGGGTCTTCCTAGCAAGTCTTTTCTTCTTCTTGTGTAGTGGTTTTGACTCCAGAATCATTTCCTCCAACTCAAATGTAGGGTCACAGTTTAACCTTCGCCTCTGGACAAACAAACAGACACAGTATTATTAGGTCAACGCGTCTGATCTTCAACCTGAGTGTTTGCTGTGTTTAAGACTAAAATATTCTCCAGGCCCTAGTGATTATCACAATAATGGTTCATTACATTCTGCAAACTTTGAACTCAGTGTTACTGTTAGCACGCTACTTAATTAAGATGCCATGCTTTTGAGTTGTTTCACTGCTATATCTCCTCGATGGAACCGACTACAACTGTGCTTAATTAAGATGCCATGCTTTTGAGTTCTTTCACTGCTATATCTCCTCAATGGACTGATAGAATAGAGTCAGAGCGACATGTTAGAACCGACTACAACTGTATTTAACTCAAAATGAATTTTTCAAAAATATTTTTCCTAAAGTATCCCACAAATGTGTGGCATTTCCTACTGCACAGATATATCACTTTAGGAGGATTCAATAAGTCAGTGCAGTAACTACAAATAGTACACAGAGGCATCCACCTGTCAATCAAACCGTTCAGCTGTCTTGGTTCTGTGTAAGAAATCTGTCTTTGTGACACAAACACACGCATGTCTTAGTCTGCATCTGTCTGTTCTGTCTGGATGTTTGTACACTCAGTAGGAGGTCTATCTTGGCCCAGCAGGTGGCAGTCTCCACAGCATGACTTGAATAACAATATAAGGTAGGTTTTATGCCAGTGTTGTTTTGAGCTACAGATTCCCTCCTGCTCTAGTTCTTTAATTTGACATTTGCTGAGTTTATGACTAATGCTTACGTTAGGGATGAACCCTGGAGGGAGTTGTTTGCTGAGAACAACGTCCCAGGTGACGTCCGACATGTAGTCCAAGTCCTGAAGCTCTGCTAAACAGGAAATCCGCTTTTGAACATCTATGCAGAGCAACTGAAAGAGGGAGGCAGAGGGAGCAGGTTAAAAACATATTACCACTACAGAGCAGGGATGAGAAGTTGGAGTTCGTCTGTGAAGTCAGCCCAAGATGTCTGGGTAAATGACTGTGAAAAAGTGGTTCGTAACAGATATCGAGTAGAGGAGGGAGAGAGTAAAGGCAGAAGGAAGGAAACAGAATAAGGTTGGTAAAGATGACGGTGATGAGAGGAAATCAGCAGGATGTGAAGAGGAAAGGATGAGTGAGAATTACACTGGAAATTCTCTTCTTACATTGTCGCTTCCAGTACAACTACAACACACACACACACACCCAGCAATGCATACAGAATTCCAATGAGGTGCAGGGAGTCTGAGCACGGAGCAATGCAACAGTTTGACTGCAGCAGCTCTGTGCCCAAAACCAAGTCAAATACCAGAGCTACTGACAAACTGTAGGCAGTTTAAACAACATCACCGTGTGAATGAACTGTGATCATCAAGTGTTGGTGTAGATTCTCAAAAACTGACACACAGAGCATCAGTTAAAATGTTATATATATATATATATATTACATTATATTTGTTTTTCATTTTGATTAGTTATGTCGGCCATAAAATGCATATTGTCTCCCAATATTTTTTAACAATAAGGTGTAAAATAAGAAATTAAAAAACATAACTTAAGACAGATTAATAGACTTTCTCTTTCATTTCTTAAGTAGTCAGATCGCCCGGATTTTAATCGTATTAACCTGATTAATAGACAGATGCATCGCTGATATCACTGCTGAGCAGAGCCGCTTACGCACGATGAGTGCAAGGCTGTGTTGTAAAAATCCTTTGTTTTACAATGAAAAGACATGTTCCACTGATTTACCTTTCTGAGAAGCGACTTCATCTCCAGCGACCAGGCTACTGGGTAGGTGGGGTGGACTTTGTGGAAGGTCTGAAGGATCTCATTGGTCGGTGTGCTGGATCTTATCACGTACGGCCTCTGTGGGAGGACACAGAGAGGAGAGACCGTGTGTTAAAGACAGACAGTGTGTCGTTCTCCCACGGCGTCTGGGGAAGTCACTTAAATCAAGTGTGTGTTGTCGAGATTGTTCCTCAGTTGTAACGTCTCAGCACTTTGTCAGTAGTCGCCCATTATTACTTAGAGTACTTAGAGTCAGTAGTCGCCCATTATTACTTAGAGTGAAACACCATTAAGAAAGTAAAGAGGGAAGGTTTCTCCAGGTGATTTTAACCACTGGGCCTGATACTTCAATCAAATACTTGTAGACAAACTCTTACTCAGGAGTTAGATCTACGGTAAAGCCTAACACCTGAAGATGTTCTTTAGCGCTAATTATGCTAATTCCTCAGTTTAAGGTCGCAGTGGATGAGATGTTTAACTTGTGTTTGTAGTATCTCTAGTATCATAATTTGCCAGTAAAGATTGTGTACAAAAATAAAGCAGATCGATGTACTGCATAATGAAAGACACGGGTGTATGGAGGCCATTTTTCAGATTTATTACGGTGTCTTTCATATGCTCAGGAGCAATCACATTCCAATACTGCAGCTGTTCTCCCTTAAAGGCACATGACTACAAAGAGGGATGTATTCTTTTAGTGGCACTGTGTTACATAAAATGAAAATATATATATATATATATATTATACAATATAACTATTTAATATATTGTGTATTAGATGAATTTGTAGGTTGTTGTACTTGACAAAAAAGGAAAACCCATGGTGGACTAAGGGAGAGATAAGGTGACCGTGATTGATCTACATTTGAGGAGAGATGCTGAGT